AGAAAGAAAAAAGTCAGAAACAAAAGTAGATAGTTCTCCTATTTCTTCTGATTCTTTTGATTCTTCTCTTTACACTTCATCTGAGTCTAAATCTGTACAATCCAACCTGCTACTTCTGTGTTCTAAGATCTTAGAATGTTTAAAATACTACCTAGCCCTGTTTACTACTCAGTAGTTTGTCTGTAGTATTAAGCAGGGATAGTCTCAACTGAGTTCACAGCTGAGGACATGAGTCTGTCCTTGTTAAAAGAGAGAGGTTAATAAGGAAATGTTAGTACATATACTTACCCTCTCAGACAACAAGACTGTACAAGCTGTACATTCCCTTCAGAACAAGTAGCAGTTCATCTGAGGACGTTCTAGACACTAGCTCTAGGTTTCTGTCCTCTTGGCTCCCTTCTTAGAATCCTCTCAGATTCAAACAATGGCTCTAGTAGACAGTGAATGTACTGGTTCATACATTAATAAGGCTTTTGTGTAGGAACACCACCTCTCTACTTAATGTGTTCCACTTCTGATCCTAGTATACAATGTGGACAGAACCCTAAACTAGAATAGTCAGATTACTGAGTTTGTCTAACTACAGATAACTATTCAGGATTATAAGGAAAGTATTAAGTTTAGAGTTACTAACCTTGGAAAGACAGACATCTTTATTGGATTCAAATGGCTTAAGGCTCACAACCCTACTATTGACTGGTTAGAGTAGACACTTGTGTTCAATCAGTGTCCTAAGTCTTGTAGCTACCTTATACTACTGTTCTAAGTGAATACAGATACTTCTAATGTTACTAACAGTTCTAATGAAGGTGACTGGTTGTTCTTCTTCAACTAGGATAGATATGTGGATACATATTCTAGTCAAGGCAGAACAGAGTTGATCTGAAGAATGTCTAAGACAGAACCAGTCTAGAACCCCTACAGAACAACTCTACTCCAGAACACACATAAACCCAGCCTGCTGGATTTTGTCTAAGAGTTCCCTGAAGTCTTTAGTGAAGAGGAATTTGACCAGCTTCCTAAACACTGTCTCTAAGACTATACAATTGAATTGACTGAGAGTTTCCAACCTAAGGATTGTAAGGTCTACCTACTTAACAGAGACAAGTAGGAGGTGCTCAACAAGTTCCTTTAGGAAAATCTTCAGAACAGCTGGATCTGACCCTCAAAGTCCTCTATTGCCTCCCCTTTCTTCTTTGTCAAAAAGAAAGATAGGAAGCTTTGCTCAGTCCAGGATTATTGTTGTCTTAATAAGGGTACTGTCAAAAATAAGTACCTACTCCCCCTGATTCAGGAGCTCATTAATAAGACACATACATTTAGGGTTTTTACTAAGTTGGATGTTTGATAGGGATACAATAATATTTGGATCCAAGACAGAGATGAGTGGAAGACTGTGTTCTGAACCAATTGTAGATTGTACAAACTGACTATAATGTTCTTTAGACTAACTAACTTGCTCACAACATTCTAGTCATTTATGAATCACATCCTCACAGATCTGATTGACTTAGAGCATGTTAGTGTGTATCTAGATAACATTCTAATCTTCACTCAGACAGTCAAACACTATTACTGACTGATCCAAGCAGTTTTACAACAGCTCTAAGATAATAAACTGTTCCTCTAAGAAGTAAAGTACTCTTTTGTACAGGAGTCAGTAGATTATCTGAGCTTTGTGATTGGTGGAGGAGAGGTCTGTATGGATCTGGCAAAGGTAACTGTAGTTTGGAACTGGCTACAACCTTAGAACCTGAAACAGGTCCAAGTGTTCCTTAGGTTTGCAAACTACTACTAATACTTTATTTAAGGCTTTAGTACTATTGCCTGGCCTCTACACAATCTTACTAGCAAAGATGTTCCTTAGCAATAGGAGGATTAGTAGTAGTCTGTGTTTGAGTCCCTAAAGTAGGCCATTACTAGCAAGCCTGTACTAGCAGTTCTAACAGTTGTGAACAAGTTCTAAGTCAAAGCTGACTCTTCTAACTTTGCAAATAGAGTAGTACTGTCCTAGTTCATTGACAGAAAGTAGTGTCTGATAGTGTTCTAATCAGAATCCCTCTCTGTAACAGAATGGAACTACCCTATCTATAACAAGGAACTCCTTACAATTGTCTGTTCCCTAGAGGAGTAGTGTTAATATCTCCTCAGTACTATACAGAAGTTTAAGATTTGGAGTGATCACTTTAATCTTTAATACTTCTGGGCACCTTAAAAGCTCAACCACTGTCAAGCCTGCTGGATGTTAGAACTGTAGGACTATGACTTTGTACTGACCCACAAACCTAGAACACAAATGACAAAAGCTGATTTACTCTCAAGACAAGTAGGTTATGAAAGGGGAGAGAATGATAACAAAAATCTTGTTCTCCTAGACAATTCCTGTTTTGCATCCAAGACAATCTGAGAGATCCAACTTGAATCCAAGGATATTGACTTTGTCACCTGTATACAGTAAGCTCTAAGACACACACAGGACTAGGTTGTAGTGAAGTAGCTAGAGAAGTAGGCTAGGAATTAGAAGGAGGATGAGGATAGATAGGTTTACTAGGAAGGCCAACTGTACATTCTAAAGGATCAGAAGCTGTAGGAGGACATTGTCTGAGCTTATTACAACAATCTGACTGTAGGACATCCAGGCTGACACAAAACACAGGAACTCATCACTCAGAACTACTAGTGGTCTAGAATGTAGAGGGAAATCCTAAAGTATGTGACTGGTTACAATATGTACTAACAGACTAAGGCCTACCAGACAAGGGTTCAGGCTCCTCTACATCTGTATTAGATCCTGGATCACCCTTAGGAAGAAGTCTTAGTAGACCTGATTAGTAAGCTACCCAAGTCTCAGGGTTACAACACTATCTGTGTAATTGTTGACTGATTCTCTAAACAAGTCTATGTGGTTCTGACCCAAACAGAACTCACTTCTGAAGGTATAGTGTGCATTTATTAGGATCATGTCTTCTAGTTGTACAGACTCCCTTGGAAGCTCATTCATGATTGTGGACTGTAATTCAAGTTGAAATTCATACAGAACTTGTATGTACTTCTCAGAATTCAAGAGAACCCTTCTACTACCTATCACCTACAGACTGACAGTCAAACTGAGTGAGTCAATCAGGAGATTGAGCTCTACCTCTGAATGTTCATCAATCATTAGTAATCAGATTGGTCTGAATAGCTAGCTCTGGCAGAATTTGTACACAATAACTAGTAACACTCTACAATAGGACAGTCCCTGTTCTTCCTCAATTATGAGAGACATCTGTACTAGGGGACAGTTCTAAACCAGAACAACAGTTCTGAATCCACAACAGACTTTGTGAAACAGATGCACAGAACCAGAGAGGACACACAAGCTCTTTTGGAAAAGGTAGTACAGGTTATGAAGCAGAACTATGATTGGAAGAAGTCTGCAGCCAAGGATTACCAGCCTGGTAACAAAGTTATGCTAGAAGCTACTAACCTGATCACAGATCACCTAATAAAGAAGTTGGACAACAAGTGCTTTGGACCCTTTGTTATTAAAAAGAAGGTTAGTACTTCTGCCTACAAACTCCAACTTCTAGCAACATAGAAGTACATACACCCAGTGTTCAACAAGGTTCTACTGTCTCAGTACTACAATCCAGGTTTTCCTTTGTAACAAAGACCCCTACTGCCTCTACTAGAACTTATTAGTTCTGAACCAGAATACAAAGTAGAGTACATAGTAGATACTAAGCTAGTGTATGGAAAGCTCAAGTTCCTTATCTACTAGAAGGGATACTTAGTTAAAGAATGCACTTGAGAACCTGCTAAGAATCTCACCCATACTACTAAAGCAATCCAAGACTTCTATCAACTTCATCCAGGTGCTCCACATTAACTCTGCCTCACAGATTTCCAAACCCTACTGTTCTAACCTATACCTGAGCCACTAACCAAGTCTAATGTTCACCAATTGGGACAATTGGTTTTAGAGGGAGGGTGATGTTACAATCCTCTACTCTCTTACCTTCAGTTCTAAGGGTTCTACACCCTTCTGTACTGGAACTCAGGACTTCTGTCCCTTGAGAGTACTGTCTATAGACTATATGTGTACTGACTCTTACTACTACCCTTCCTTACTTCATCATTCCATTCTTTTGACCACTCCTTCATTCTCTGTTCATTCTATAGTCTCTTACCCTTTGTCCATCCCTTCATTCTTTGTACCTTTATCTTTAACATTCCTTTCTTTCATTCTTTGTAACTTATTATTCTTAGTGGCTCATACTCCCTGAGTACTCTTGTGTAGTTTAGTATATATAAGTGTACAAGATCAGACTGGTTCTATAGTCTTAATCTTGTCTACTCCAGGTAGTCCTGTACTCTTAGGCTCACTTTATACACTCTACTCTTGTCTCACTCTCTCTCTCTGCCTGTTCTGCAAGTTCTGACTATGTTCTAGTACTTACATTCTGTACTTCTGTTGTGTAGGATAGTTGTAGCCTGGGTCCTCTTGCTGAGCCTTCAGGTCCCCTGTACACTGTTGCTGACAGAAATGTTATGACTGAACAAAAGAAAAATAACAAAATATACAAGAACAAATAAGAGAACCTTTTGCTAGAGGTTGGAAGAAAATGGGGTGAAAATACATAAGGAAAATTTAAGTGGTCTGCATTCTAGCTACAGGAAATGTTATGCAAAAGGGAAAAGTAAGATTTATATTGAAAGAAGTAGAAGGTTCTCATACTGTTATCATCTGATTAGTACAGACAAAGTGTAGAGAGTTCTGAGATTTCCAGCAGTCTCCTAAGATCAACACTTTGATTGCCTCAATGTCCTATCTGATTAGAAGATTGTAGTACTTTGATCCAAGCAATAATAATGTAATAGTTTACTGAGCTACTCACTGTGACACAACTTGTGTTCTGAGCCTGTGATAAGTATGTGATCCATACATCCTGTAGAGAAAACAATGTGTGTAAGCCAATTCTGAGACTGTGCATGCTTGTGGTTCCATTTGCAAATGCTTACAATGCAGAATAGTTGGGTGTTCTTAGAGTAGGCTTCTATGAGTCATGTGAGTGTTCAGAATTGATTACTGTGATTGTCTGCATGTGATGTACAGTTCTTAGCATGATGCCAATCGTTTCAGCATTATGAACCTTCTTTGCAAGCCTAGCAATCTACATGATACATAGTGTTAATATAATCATATATTTACTATATTATCAGGCTTACCTTTGGAAGAACTAATTCAGCATCCTTAATCTCCTCAACTGTAATAAAAACACCCTCAGCTTGCATATTAGCTATAGCTTGATCACAAATAGAAGAGACTATATGAGAATCATAAACTACTTGTCTATTATCCTCTATATTATCTTCATTGTGAAGTAAGTCAGCCAGTATAGCTTCATTAGATGTAAGATTGTTACCAGCTTCAATCACCACCTCTAAACAGTTAAGAGAGTGGTTTGAGCTGGTGCCAACCTTTACAGCTTTCTTCTACCTTAGTGGCTTGAAGAAGAGAGAGATAATAGCCTATAAATTGACTTATTATTATATATACAAAGTATAACTTGTTATATAACAATACCTTTGTAACCAAATTCAATATATGTGCAAAACACCAGACACACAATTTCATGCCTTGAAATGCTGGAAGAAGCTTTGCAGCTTCTATTGTAGTAGTATTACAGTTACCAGCATTGTCTATTATAATAACATGTAGCTTGAGAGTATTAGTTAGTTTATTTTAACAAGTGTAGCAGGAGTACCCTAAGTACTCTCTCTTATTGAGACATCAAGCAAGTGTCTACCTTATATACTACATAGTAAAGTCTGATAGTCTGAGACATTCCAAGTGTAGTAACTCTACATAAGGCAATTAGGGATTTCCTAATCCAGAGCACAATCTAATACTCCCCTTCAAGCATTAATTAAGAACTAGGACTGTATGTCTAATAGTTCATTTAGATGCTTGATCTGTAGGACATAGAGAGCTTTTGTAAGGATGTCTGCTAATTGGTTCTGTGATTGAACATAGTATACATTAATGTAATTGTTTTGAATATAACATTACACAAAGTCTTTTTGTAAATCAAGATGTTTAGTACAAGCATTGTATGTTATTTTGTCAGACTTTACAGTCTTTATTACACCTTGATTATCACAATAAATCATAATGGGTGCTGATTCAGTCTGCAGTACTTCTTCAGCAAATTGTTTGAGCCAAATGGCTTCTTGAGTAGTATACACTAGTACTTACAACTCTGCTTTATAAACAGATAGTAGTACCAGGTTTTACTGTTTGCTTGACTAAAATATGGTCAATTTAGCTAATTGAAAGATGTAGCTGTTTATTACTTTATGTCCTTCTGTCATTCATCTGTCTGTATTACAATAGCCTTGTAGTTTTAAGGTGTTTGTGCTTCCAAGTTGAAGCCAACAATTTGTTGTATATTTTAAATACACAAAGCAATGTTTCACTACTTTGTAGTGATATGTTTAGGGCTTTTGTAAGTAGTGCACTAATTGCCCAGTAATATAAGATATGTCTGACTGTGTGCAATCTGTAACATATCTTAACAATCCTACTATATTCATGTATAGCATTGTTTCATTATTACTTTCGTTTGTATTGTACATATTGTTTGTATCATTAGATAGATCTATTCTAGGAGTAATAGGTGTTTGTAGTGCCTTTTTGTTTTCAAAGTGGTAACACTTGATTATACTTTCAATATAATTCTTTTGCTATAAGCTAATTGTTTGTTAAGGTCTATCTCAGCTTATTTTAATACTAAGTAACCAATGTATTTTGTTACTGTCAGTAAATACAATGTGTTGTCTTAATGCATGTTTAAATGCCATTATTATAGTGATAGTTTTGCTAATAATTGTAATATCATTAATGTACATAAATGTTACAAGAATTGTTTTATTATTTTGTTTCTTGTAAAATACAGTGTAATTGTAATTAGCTTGTTCTAATCTGATCTTAAGCAGTAGTTCAGTAATCTTCTTGTACCATCATCTACCTACTTGTTTCAATCCATATAACACTTTATTTAAGTGTAACACCTGTCCAGGTTTAATATCTGTAAGTAGCCTGCCTGGCAGCAGTTTCACATAAATGAGTTTGTCCTCATTTAATTCTCTGTAAAGATATGTGGATTGTACATCTATCTGATGTATTTCATAGTTCTTAGATGCTACCCAAGATAACAATAATTGTACTATTGATAGTTTTGTTACTAGAGCAAATAAGTCATCAGAATAGAAGTCTATTCTATTCTTTTGAGCATATCCTTACACTACAAATTGTGCTTTGTATTTGTCTATTTGGCTGTTAGCCAGTCTTTTGATTTTATAGACAAATTTCATTCTAATTATATTTGTATTTGTAGGGGGGATAGTATATATCCATGTGTTTTGTTGTTGAAGTGACTGTATTTCATCCTTCATAGCTTTGATCTACTGTTCTTTGTCTATACATGTTATAGTATTGTAATACATTAATGGATCATTATAGACTTTGTTAAGGAATTTGTTAAATTCTGTTAGATACATAGCTAGGTTTATATTGTCTTTGTAATTTAAACCTATAGTTTGTTTAACCAGTCTTTGCTCTTGTGTAGAGCATTGTATGACAGGTTCTTTATCTTTATTATTGTTATTAGGAAGAGTTTTATCATTGTTTGATGTATCATTATTATGATTATTCTCCCCTTTAATCCTAGACATTAGTTTGTCTATGAATTGTACATTGTGTTCAACAGTAATTTTATTATTATAGTACACTAAGTAACCTTTACTGTTAGTATCATAACCTAACTATTGTGTGTGTTAGCCTCTAGGTTGTAGTTTATGTGTTTGTTCATTCTGTATAATACAATATGTACTGAATTCTCATATATTATCTATTTGATAATGTTCATTATACTGTTTGTAATATAGTGTTACAAAATTAATAGCAACTCTCAGTATTCTGTTATAAATAAACGTTTGATATTGTACTGTATATACCCAGAATTTCATAGGTAACTTTGCTAATAACAGACACATATGTATACTGTTAAAGATAGTCTTATGTATATGTTCTACAACTCTGTTCTGCTACAGTGTATCATGTACTGTTAATCTACATATTGTTCCTTGACTTTCAATATATGTAGTAAAGTCTTTACTTAGGAACACTGTATTGTTATCACTTTGAAGAGTTTTAACTCTTATACTGTACTGTGTAAAGAGTCTTATTGTATGCTTTACATATTCTGTGAAAGCATCACTTTTATACTACATAGGTAGCATAGTTACCCATTGTGTAGTGTCATCTATGATGGTAAAAAGATATTCATACTTACTGTAAGCTTGTACTAGGGCAGGTCCCTAAATATCAATATGGAGATAATCTCTATAAGATTGTGTAAGAGGTGTTGTTTGTATTTTTGGTATTTCATTACATTGTATGTTTGCTTTGATACAATCTGTACACTACACATTTTTATTGTCTGTTATCCTTTAATTTATAATCTTAGAATACTCTTGTATGAGTTTGTACAAGTAATCAAAATTAACATGACCCATTTGTCAGTGTAAATCAACAATAGTGATTGTGTTAATAGATTGTTTATTATGATGAGAAACTATCATATACAAGTTATTTTGTACATGTATTTCACTAATCTTTGTATGAGTAGGAGAATAAATAATACATTCATTGTTTGTTTTTGTTAAAACATATCCTACTTTATATAATAGTGCTTCACTAATGAGTGTGAAGTTCAGATTGGGATGATAGTATATGTTTTGTAGTGAAATTGTATTCACCTTAGTATGCTCATTGGTTTTGTCTCATAGTTTTATGTTAAATGTCATCACTCCACTTTTACTAAGTGTGAATAACAATTTATTCATAATTGTAATGTTTATTAGGGTTGAGTTCCAAACGTTTGTAAGACAGAACAAGTATAGAGTAGTATGTACATTTGCACCAGAGTCCAATATATTAATACAATGTATTAGTTCAGTATCATTACAATGTATTGTATTGATACATACATTTGGATTGTAATTGAACTCCTTAATGACTTCTTTTGTATTGTCAAATGAGTTCATAAAGTTGTCTACTTGTATGACACTATCCTCTTGTACTTTGAATGCTGAAAATACATCAGATTCAGTAGATAGAGTGGATTGAACAGGTAAGCTGCTGGAACTTGATACTGAGGCTTCTACAATTGTAGACTCTAGCATTAGTGTTTCATTAACATCTTCAATGAATACTGTTTTGTTATTGTCTCTAATGAATACTACTACATTAAGTGTAGGTTGAGACAGTATAGTAGTAGTAGTAGAAGTAGTAACTGTTTGCCTATACTTTTTCTTTCTAGCTTCTGTTGTTTTACTTGTTAGAGGGTTTTGACAGTCTTTTAACATATGCCTGTACTTATTACAGTTGTAACATTTAACTTTATTATAAGGCTTTGTTTTGCCTTTAGCTACACTTTTGCCTTTCGTTTGTAGGCTGTCTTGTTCAGTATCTTGTTTTGTTTGAGAGTACTGAGAATGATACTTAGTATATGTGTTTTGTAATTTGTGTATCAACTTAGCTAGTGTCAGAACGTCTTTCTGAGCTGCTGTAACTGTTGGTAGTTGATTATAATAGGTAATCTACCTGTCTAGCATTGTTACTACCTATCTATACTCACAAGGAGTAGCAAGGTTAATTACTGAGATGTACATATTGTTATTGAGAGCTTTATTATGTGCAGACAACTGTCTATAGATTTGTTTGATGTTGTCTAACATCTTATCAAACTGTGATACATACCCTTTTACTGTAAACAATGTAGATATGTCTACAGCATGTGTCATCATTGTTTGAACATTGTATTGTTCAGAAAGTACCTTCATAAGACTTCTAACACTTGTATGCATTGTAAAGTTCACATAAATTGTATCAGTTATTGTTTTCATTATACAATGATACAAAACATTACCTGTACATATGTCAGCATCATCAGAGGAAGGGGGATTGTGCTCTAGATGGTCTGAGAGCATCATAACAGCAAGTGTACTGTGTATACACAAGCACCATATCTTGTATCCCTTTGCACCAGCCAACTTTTCTGTTCCCTCAAAGAACTTTGTAATGTTAGAGTCCTTCATCATAGCATTAACAAAGGTATGCATTGTAGACAACATCATAATAGGTTTGGGGGGAGAGGGAGGTCTAGGGCTTGGTGGTCTAGCAGGAGGCAAAGGTGTTCTGTGAGAGCAAGTGCATGGGGGCATTCAATAGGCACCAAGGCTCATAACCTTTTAACAAGCATAGTGGGAGTGCCCCAAGTACTCTCTCTTATTGAGACATCAAGCAAGTGTCTACCTTATATACTACATAGTGAAGTCCAATAGTCTGAGACATTCCAAGTGCAGTAACTCTACATAAGGCAATTGGGGATTTCCTAATCCAGAGCGCAATCTAATAGTTTATCAAAAGTAAAGTAGGAAAAAAAGACTCACAAGATTGTCAAGCTCATATCAGCATAGACAGTCCACCAATTTTTTGGCAAGGTAGGCACTAGTATGGCTTTGAGTCAATCTAAATAAATGAATAATGTCAGAGCTCATGAGATGCAGATTCAATTAGAGTGGTAAGAATAGAAGTAATCGGTGTTGAAAAGTATCCGGTTCCATAGCATATGCGTATGCATAACCCTCAGCTTTCTCCGCGAGAGCAAGGCTGGCATCTGAAACGTGTGGTTCTGGTACGATATGTTGCATGTTCGACGTTCTGATCGCTGGATACTCAGACCCAACACTGGATACCTCAGACGAGGACGTGCTCGATGCCGAAGAGGAAGACGAGACTACCTGGAATCCGAGGCATTCGCAAAGCGGATCTCCGATGCAGCAGAATTGTAGGGAAAGAGCAATTTGCACTCCAGCAAGACGTCAGACGTGTCGAACCTGTTGACGGCGAGTGTTTGCTGTCACGGTATACAACGGCGAAAAGCCCTACAGAGGCCTCCTCTTTGGCTGGCGTCTAGAGAAGTACATCCGACGCCTCAACATGAACGACGGCGAGGGGAATTACGCTACCGAAGGTGTGTAAGACCACTCGAGGAGCGAGAACACTTCCTTACAGGTTGCAGTTCAGTCGTTGCCTCTTCGATAAGCTCCTTTTCAATGGGAATGCCTTTGCCGCTCCACAAGCGCTTGAAACAGACGGTATATGCATGCCAATTTCCCAAGGGCACCGAGCCATTCCACCCTCGAAGACAACGTCCGGAGCATACATTCTAGAACGCTGTTTTCCAAATCCGCCAAGGCACGTTTTGCAGGATACTAGGCAGGCAGAGAACGTAGGGTCGCCGGGACGATGATAGTGTAGCGTATGCATAGACTTATCGTCATAGATCAGAGCAAATCCAGTGCTGTGTCCACCACCAAAGTGCGTGCAGAAACCGGATGGAAACAATTTTAATGTGATGAAATACCTACTGAATAAACTCCAGAACAGCCCGATGAATTACTCCAGCATCTGTCCACACTACAACCACTCCAAGGTATGAAGTAGTAATAGGAGCTGTCCACCCATCTATAGCCAGGTGTACATTACGATTCTGGTTCTAATTTTGCTAAGTATAGAAAAAAAAAGAGACAAAATACAACTTACTTTGAAGTAATTACAAACTTTTACTGACAATCCTTCATAAACATGCTTGATATCCTTGAAGATAGTAGCAGGAGATGGTATTAGAGTACCAGGCCAGAGCATGTCAACCTCTGCTATGTAATACTTGTCCTTAACATGGTTGAATGGATGATTGTTCCTTGCACATTGTAATATAGTTGCTGTGGTCCGGTTCTGGACCAGTCCACCCCTCCTTTACCTGGACTGTAACCCGGACCTCTTCATACGGTCCGGGTAAAGGAGGGACCTGGACCCGAACCTTTGTGGACCGCTGTTGGACCGGACCTGAGGTCCAGTCCAGGTCCGGTCCAGGTATGACCTGGACCAGTAGAACTTATACTTACAGTTGGCTCAAGAGTGTGTCCCTAATGTGAGTAGAGGAGTTCAAGCATCCTACAACAAATAGTGTCTATTCTTTTTTTTGTAATATGTAGCTAGTGCTTTATACTAGACTATTTACAAAGAGAATGATAATGAGTTTTAAGAATTTCAATTGCTTCAAAAGTTTCTGGAAGAAGTCAGTTACACTACTTTGTATCTACAAGCCCTGCACCTGAAAAGACATGCTCACAAGGTATAGAGGAGCCTTGTATAGTAAGGTAATCCTGAGCTATGTTAAGAGGGAAAACTTAAGGGGGGCACGCATAGACAAGGGGTGAGGTGACGATTGACCGCTCAGTGTCTCTCGTCCTTATATTGTATGTATTCTAACTGAGACATTATGAAGTCATTGTCTCGTGGTTCGTCCGTTGATGAACTAATCATCTCATAATACTCCCCTTCAAACTCTTACTAGTCCGAGTAAACTGGTAAGATGTTTGACTTGTGGTACATGTAGTGCTTTAGTTAATATATCTGCTTGTTGATCGTTCGTCCGTATGTATTTCACATTTATGTACTCTAATTCAATGTAGCATTTAATAAAGTCTTTCTTATGATCTAAATGCTTCGTTCGTTCCGAATATTTGAGTTCGTCCAATGTAACTGTTCGTATAACAGCATCATTATTGCAATAAATATTAATTGGTGCATCAGAGACCTGCAGAATCTCTTCAGCTAAATGAGTAAGTGCGATTGCTTCCTGTGTTCCTCTTGCAAGAGCTATTAATTCAGCTTCATACATTGAATTTGCCACCAGTGTTTGTCTTTTACTTGACCACAAAACTAATGAATTGCTCAAGTAAAATGCATATCCTGATATTGCACAATGCCCTTCTTGCATCATACTGTCTGTGTCTGTATATCTGTTCAATATTGATTGATTTGTGCTGCCAAGTTGGAGCCAGACATTGTTTATAGTTTTTAAGTACATGTAACAATGTTTAAGTGCTAGATAATGCTCCATACTGGGGTCATTAAGGTATTTAGCTAACTGATTTGTTGCAAATGCTATATCTGACTGTGTACAGTCTACAATGTATCTAAGTGCACCAACCATGTTTATGTATAGTATATCAGACATTTGTTTTCTATCATTATCAGTTTGCAATACTGTTTTTAATTGTGTACCAGGCTGTATGGGTGTTTGTACACTTTGTTCGTTTGTAAGTTTGTAACATTCTATTATACTGTTAATATAATATGTCTGACACATCCTGATGAATCTATACTCTCTATTGTGTTGAATCTCTATACTAAGTAGCCAGTGTAATTCACCACTGTCTGTGTATTGTAAATGACATGCAATAGATTGTTTTATCATTGCAATAGTATTATTATTCATTACTGTGATAGTAATATTGTTGACATGTACAAATAATATGGCTACAGTTATTTCTTTCTTCTTTGTGAAGAATATGGTGTTATCATGTTTGGATTTCGTTAATCTGTATTTAAGTAGTATATTAGATAGTGTTTTATACCATCTTCTACCAGCTTGTTTTAATCTGTATAGTGCTTTTCATAATTGTAAAATATTTGTCCATTCTGTAGTCTGTCTATTAAGTTACCTGGAGGAGGTTTAACATATATTTCCTTGTCTTCCATCAATTG